TAGGTTTTTTCGGGCTGTATGGCCATGGTCCAGAGGCATTTTCTCCTGACGTTTCGCCTGCATCTATGGCAAGCATCCTCAGAGGTAGTGAGGTCTGTTGGAACTAGGAAAAAAGGTTTATATATCTGTGGAATGACCAGGGTGAGACAAAGGACTCTTGTCTGCTGGAGCTAGGTGTGAATGTTTCAACTGACCACCTTGATTAGCTCTCTTCCTGCCTAGAATGGGCTGACTGTGCCTGGAGCAATCTTTTGTTGAGAGGTAATTAGATGTCCCTGCCTGCTTCCTCTCTGTTGTTGTGCTGTTGCAATTTTAGAGTTTTTAATACTGGTAGCCAGATTTTGTTCATTTTCATGGTTTCCTCCTTTCTGTTGAAATTGTCCACATGCTTGTGGATTTCAATGGCTTCTCTGTGTCATCTGACATGGTGGTTGTGAGAGTGGTCCAGCATTTCTGTGTTCTCAAATAATATGCTGTGTCCAGGTTGGTTCATCAGGTGCTCTGCTATGGCTGATTTCTCTGGTTGAAGTAGTCTGCAGTGCCTTTCATGTTCCTTGATGCGTGTCTGGGCGCTGCGTTTGGTGGTCCCTATGTAGACTTGTCCACAGCTGCATGGTACACGGTAGACTCCTGAAGAGGTGAGAGGATCCCTCTTGTCCTTTGCTGAACGTAGCATTTGTTGGATTTTCTTGGTGGGTCTGTAGATAGTTTGTATGTTGTGTTTCCTCATCAGCTTCCCTATGCGGTCAGTGGTTCCCTTGATATATGGCAAGAACACTTTTCCTCTGGGTGGTTCTTTCCATACATCAAGGGAACCACTGACTGCATGGGAAGCTGATGAGGAAACACAACATACAAACTATCTACAGACCCACTAAGAAAATCCAACAAATGCTACATTCAGCAAAGGACAAGAGGGATCCTCTCACTTCTGACAGTTTCTCAACCTTCCTAATGCTGTGACCCCTTAATACAATTCCTCATGTTGTGGTGACCCCCAACCATAACATTATTTTCGTTGCTACTTCATAACTGTCATTTTACTACTGTTATAAGTCATAATGTAAAATATCTGATATGCAGGATGCATTTTCATTCACTGGACCAAACTGGGCACAAATACTCAATACACCCAAATGTGAATGCTAGTGGGGTTGGGGGAGGATTGATTTTGTCATTTGGGAGTTGTAGTTGCTGGGATTTATAGTTCACTTATAATCAAAGAGCATTCTGAACTCCACCAGCGATGGATTTGAACCAAACTTGGCTCCCATGACCAATGGAAAACACTGGAAGGGTTTGATGGGCATTGACCTTGAGTTTGGGAGTTGTAGTTCACCTATATCCAGAGAGCACTGTGGACTCATGCAATGGTGGATCTGGACCAAACTTGGCACGAATACTCAATATGCCCAAATGTGAACACTGGTGGAGTCTGGGGAAAATAGATCTTGACATTTGGGAGTTGTAGTTGCTGGGATTTATAGTTCATTACAATCAAAGAACATTCTGAACTCCACCAACGATAGAATTGACTCAAACTTCCCACATGGAATCCCCATGACCATCAGAAAATACTGTGTTTTCTTATGGTCTTTGGCGACCCCTCTGACACCCCTCGCGACCCCCTCAGGGGTCCCGACCCCCAGGTTGAGAAACACTGCTATACGGATCTTTGTTGCCAGTGTGATGTCTCTACTCTTCACTATTTTATCGAGATTGGTCATTGCTCTCCTCCCAAGAAGTAAGTGTCTCCTGATTTTCTGGCTGCAGTCTGCGTCTGCAGTAATCTTTGCACCTAGAAATACAAAGTCTGTCACTGCCTCCACGTTTTCTCCCTCTATTTCCCAGTCAAGGACTCCATACACTCCAAATATTTTTTGTTTACTGCAACTCTCATTCTTCCTTACAATTCGCTCTTCTAGCTAGACCTGGTGGGAATTCCATGCATTCCTTATACCTGGAGTCAATTGGAAAATCTCAGCTACCCACCTCTGCAATACATGATAGAGGAAAAATATGTGTTAGCACATAAACTGGGGCATGAGCAGTGGAAGGTTTAAGAGAGCATGAATCAACCATTTGAAGGGAATGTGTGCAGTCGAAACAATGGCTTAAATTCTATAGTTAGTTTTTACTAGAATACACCATTGAACCAGCTGGATTTACCTACGTGTTGATTCACCATTCAGTGCCTCAACTCTATTTATGACTAACCTACATTCCATACTGTAGATGCCAAAAATGTGGTTGCAGGCGTTCAGTAAAGCAGAAATAAATACCACTTTGGCAAGAGTGTGATTCTTGGCAGATGCAAGTTATACATGGGAAAGGGGTAGGCATTAGTTTAAAACAACTTCAGTGAAGTCTCAATTGTTTTGAGGCCGGGGTGGTCCATGCCTTAGTCACCTCCAGATTGGACTACTGTAATGCGCTCTACGTGGGGCTGCCCTTGAAAACGGCTCGGAAATTCCAACGGGCGGCAGCCAGGTTGTTAACTGGTGCTCCTTACAGGAGAGGTCAACCCTCCTGTTTAAGGAGCTCCACTGGCTGCCGTTCATTTTCCGGTCCCAATTCAAGGTGCAGGTTCTTACCTACAAAGCCCTGAAAGGTTTGGGACCCGCCTACCTGCGTGACCGCATCTCTGTATACGAACCCACATTCCCTCCGTTCATCTGGAGAGGCGCTGCTCGTGATCCCACCTGCTTCACAAGTGCGCTTGGTGGGGACAAGGGACAGGGCCTTCTCTGTGGTGGCCCCCCAACTCTGGAACACCCTCCCCAAGGACATCAGACAAGCCCCAACGTTGGCAGTCTTTAGGAAGAGCTTGAAGACTTGGCTGTTCCTGTGTGCCTTTCCAGAATAGGAAACTCCCAGCATCATGTCCCAGATGCACTTTATTAGAGACTAGCTGTCCCCTGCCACACGTTGCTGTGGCCCAGTCTGTAATGAGAAAATGTTGGTTTCTAATATATGTAATTTCTTTATGCTTGTGGGTAAACAGTATTTCTTGTTTCTTTGTCAGTGTTGATGTGGAGAGTGTCTCGTTTGCCCACCCTGGAACATGCAACATATCATTGTCCTTCTTTAAGGGTCCCTTTCAAATCTATGATACTATATTTGTGTGTGTGTGAATCATATCTATCTATCTATCTATCTATCTATCTATCTATCTATCTATATCTATGGCTGGATGGCTCTTTGTCAGGAGGACTTTGATTATGTTTTCTTGCCCTGATGAAGGGAGTTGGATTGGATGGCCTTCAGTATTTTCTGTTGGTCATGGGGGTTCTGTGTGGGAAGTTTGCCCCGATTCTGTCGTTCATGGAATTCAGAATGCTCTTTGATTGTAGGTGAACTGTGAATCCCAGTAACTACAACTCCCAAATGTCAAGGTCTATTTTCCCCAAACTCCATCTGTGTTCATATTTGGGCGTATTGAGTGCTTGTGCCAAGTTTGGTCCAGATCCATCATTGTTTGAGTCCACAGTGCTCTCTGGATGTAGGTGAACTACAACTCCCAAACTCAAGGTCAATGCCCACCAAACACTGCTAGTATTTTCTGTTGGTCATGGGAGGCCTGTGTGCCAAGTTTGGTTCAATTCCATCGTTCAGAATGCTCTTTGATTATAGGTGAACTATAAATCCCAGCAACTACAACTCCCAAATGACAAAATCATAATTTTTTGAGTGATGGTCACTCCTTGTGTTGTGAGACGTTTTGTTGCCAAATTTGGTGTGATTTTGTTCATTGGTTCTTTTGTTTTTAAGGTACTCATTATGCACAGAGCATTTTTATATATCTAGATATTGTACTATACCATTCGTTGCTGTAGCCTATAGTAATTCTTTTCAAAGTAGAGGTAGATATCTGGAGTATTATGAAAGAGAGGTACCTACCTATTCCTTCCCCCTTTTTCTCCCTCTTTCTTTCTTTCTTTCTTTCCTTCCTTCTTTCGCTCCTTGGTTTCATCCTTCTCTCTTTCCTTCATTCCCTCCCCCTTTCTTCCTTTGCCTCCTTTCTTCCCTCTATGTTTCCTTCCTTCTTTCATTTTTTATTTCCTTTTCTCCTTCCTTCTTTACCTCTTTCCTGCCTTTCCTTCCTTTTATTTTTCTTTCTACTTTCTCTTCTTGCTTCCTTCGGTACCTCTTTCTTTCCTGCCTTCCCTCCTTCCTTTCTTCCTTCCCAATGCTTACCAAACCCTTCTCATGGGAGTCCTGTGTGCCACGTTTGGTTTAATTCCGTCATTGGTGGAGTTCAGAATGCTTTGATTATAGGTAAACTATAAATCCCAGGAGCTTCAACGGAGGGGGGTGGGAGGAGGAGGAGTGCAGGGGCGGGGCATTGGTGGGTGTGGGCGGGGCTTCGCAGAGGGGGGTGGGAGGAGGAGGAGTGCAGGGCGCGTAGGTGGGTGTGGGCGGGGCTTCGGCGGAGGGGGTGGGAGGAGGAGGAGTGCATGGGCGGGGTGGTGGGTGTGGGCGGGGCTTTGGCAGAGGGGGTGGGAGGAGGAGTGCAGGGGCAGGGACTCGGTGGGTGTGGGCGGTGCTTCGGTGGAGGGGGGTGGGAGGAGGAGTGCAGGGGTGGGGCCTCAGTGGGTGTGGGCAGGGCTTCGGCAGAGGGGGGAGGGAGGTGCGGAGGGTGCATTGGCCGTTTGGCCATGTGCGCGCGCCGGGGACTTTGCGCCATTGCGCATGCTCAGTTGTTTTGTCGTTTTGTGAGTGTGTTGTTGTGTTGTTTTTTATTTTGATTCGATTTGTTTGTACCTTGTGGGTTGTGGTAGGTGCATGGGAATTTTGGTTAATTTTAGTTGTGGGGGGGTTTGAGTTTTGCTGTCCCGTTGGATGCCCCTTACAGATTTATATATATAGATTGTTATGTTGTTGTTTTATTGAAGGACCTTGGCCTTTGTAAGCCGCATCGAGTCCTTCGGGAGATGTTAGCGGGGTACAAATAAAGTTAATAATAATAATAATAATAATAATAATAATAATAATAATAATAATTTTGTACTTTGTTTATTGGAGATGTCGTACAGCAACAAGAATTTCAAAAATAAAATGCTTGTCTTCGATTCTCTCCCCTGTAACATATAAACAAAGGAGTGTGAGAAAGAGCAAGGGTCTTTCAGATGCCCCGTCTCTTCCTGACACAAATGAAACACCAACACAACTTTTCCAGAAATAGCATCTGGGCATCATTCAGGAGTTGTGCAAAAGTACCAAAACATCGTGGTGGCGGAGGGATTAAACTGAGACACAGAAACAAGGGCAGAAAAGGAGTGGTCCCTCCAAAACAGGAGTGAGGAAGTGCGGGCCTAGAGATAGGAACCATTGGTCCTTCAGTTTGGACTACAACTTACATTCTCCCTTACTATTAGCCATACTGCATGGGATTGATGGATGTCGGAGCCTTTGGAGCATAGGTATCCCAACTTGGCTCCTTCCCTTGAGGTGGCCTGAAGGACCTCCTCATTCAGCTCATATTTATTTCTTCTTCCCAAGCTCTGCCTTGCAATTGGGACCGTTGTGCTCTCCAGAGACTGTTCATGTCAAGAGTAGTAGATGGACTGATCCATGTGAATGAAGTGTAGATTTAGGAAAGAATAAAAGCAGATAAGGAAAAGGGTGTAGATAGAGAGAAACCGATATCATTGTCCGTTTTTGGCTTTTAGCTACACCCATCACTATCAACACATCTGCACCTTTTACCCTGGGAAGTAATGTGTGTGTGTATCTGTTTGGGCCTAAGTGCGAGTGAGGTTCAACATATCACAGTGGAAAGAAAACCACATAAATATAAATATACCAACTTTGACCAATCTGAGTTCCTGAGCCAATATTCCCAGACAGGGGCATGAATTTGTTCCCTGATCCCATTCCAAAAGGAGAAAGGAAAGGATTTACTTCCTCCATCCAGGACAGCAAATAAGGCACATGGGGAAGACTGCCAGGTCATGGGGTGGTTGTAGGATAGGATCTCCTTCACAGATTGTCATACAATACCCCACTTCTCAGGGTCTGGACCAGGCAAGAAAGAACTGGATTGCCTGCATAAGGCAGAAGAGAAAGACGACGGACAGCTGTCACCAGAAGGGAAGACAAGAGATGGAAGAAACCTCAGAGATACTGAGGAAAGACATCCTCCCTAGTCATCTGCAGTTCGCTGTGGGATGCAGCCCTCCATCTCAAGTGCCTCAGGCCAGCCCTCGTACTTGTTGGAGCTCTTGCTGTTTTTGACATGCTGTGGAAAGAGCAAAGAAAGGGTGACATTCACGTGAGTGTCCCTCACATCCTCAGTCCCTTCTCGGGTTATTTCAGGATGTCCTCCCAGGCAAACCAAGTCCATGAAAGATGTTTTTAAGATGGCATCAATATGCCGCCCTGGTTTTCTGGGGACAGAAGGAGGATCACTACCTGCTCAAAGGGACTCTTGTCCTGCACCCCTTTGGCTCCCACAAAGACCCAGCTGTCTCGAAAGGCAAGCTCCTGGGCAATCCTGCTGCCAAGTTCTGTGAAGATTTTGCGGGTCTCTTCATTCATTCTGGAGAGGAACAACAGGATGGGAAAGTATGAGCACAACCTGCACTCCCCCTTCTCTTCTCCACTCCCTCTCTTTCCTTATTCTCTAGTTCAGTGGTTCTCAACCTGGGGTCCCCAGATGTTTTTGGCCTACAACTCCCAGAAATCCCAGCCAGTTTACCAGCTGTTAGGATTTCTGGGAGTTGAAGGCCAAAAACAACTGGGGACCCCAGGTTGAGAACCACTGGTCTAGTTGATTGATGACATGTGGCTTTTCTAATGTAACTGGACTGCAACTCCCCTCAATCCAAGCCCATATATATATATATAGCAAATGGTAAAGGAGAGGGAGCATACTTCCTGTCCCAATTTTCCAGAGCATATGATGATGATGATAATAGGGTTGTTGTAGGTTTTTCGGGCTATACAGCCATGTTCTAGAAGCATTTTCTCCTGATGTTTAGCCTGAAGAAGAGAAGGCTGAGAGGAGATATGATAGCCATGTATAAATATGTGAGAGGAAGCCACAGGGAGGAGGGAAGCAAGCTTGTTTTCTGCTTCCTTGGAGACTAGGACGCGGAACAATGGCTTCAAACTACAAGAGAGGAGATTCCATCTGAACATTAGGAAGAACTTCCTGACTGTGAGAGCTGTTCAGCAGTGGAACTCTCTGCCCAGGAGTGTGGTGGAGGCTCCTTCTTTGGAAGCTTTTAAGCAGAGGCTGGATGGCCATTTGTCAGGGGTGATTTGAATGCAATATTCCTGCTTCTTGGCAGGGGGTTGGACTGGATGGCCCATGAGGTCTCTTCCAACTCTTTGATTCTATGATTCTATGTTTTGCCTGCATCTATTTTATTTATTTACGAGGGGTATTTTTTAAGTAAGGTCCGTTTTGTTGTAGACACTAGTAGTTCGCGCACATACCGCAATGAGAGCGTGCGTCGTGTACCGGCATGCCTCGGGAACAACTGTGCTCAGTTTCTGCTCTGTAGCTAACCTGTATGGTTCTGTTCCGTGCTTTAAAAATGTTTAAGACTATCAACTCACCCGCATGTGAGGTTCGCTCAGTGATACGGTTTTTGTCAGCAAGGAACCTGCCTGCTGCAGAAATTCATCAACAGATTTGTGAAGTGTACGGTGATACTGTTATGAGTGAAAGCAAAGTGCGTAAGTGGGTACGACAATTCAAAGATGGCCGTGACAACGTCCATGATGAGGACCGCTCCGGTCGCCCTTCTTTGATTACAGACGATTTGGTGGCTTCAGTTGAAGTGAGGATTTGAAGAGGGTATTTTAAAATTGGTTCAGAGGTATGATAAGTGTTTGAACAAACTTGGCAACTATGTCGAAAAATAGAGCGAAGTATGTACTTTCTGAAAATAAATTTACTTTTTTGAAATAAACTTTCGTTGTGTACTTATGTTCAAATGGACCTTACTTAAAAAATACCCGTGTGTGTGTGTGTGTGTATGTGTGTGTGTGTGTATATATATATATATATATATATATATATAGCGCAAATGATAAAGGAGAGCACACTTCCTGTCCCAATTTTCCAGAGCGTATGATGATAATAATAATTGGGTTGTTGTAAGTTTTTCGGGCTATACAGCCATGTTCTAGAAGCCTTCTCTCCTGATGTTTTGCCTGCATCTATTTTATTTATTTATTTAAAACGTTTATATCTTGATCTTCTCTACCTCCATAGAGGGACTCAGACCGGCTGACAGCAAAAATTCAATGCTAACATTAAAATCTAAAATATCATACATCAACATTAAAATTAACCAATAACCACACGTGAGAAAGTCCAGAAATTCTGGAGAGAGATTCATAGACATGTAAATAAAATACTGGACTTAAAGTATGAGATGAAAGCAGAATACTATCTATTGGGAATACTGGATTTTGATATTGAAAGGAACAAAGACAAACTTCTGTTCCACATGGCAATGGCGACAAGACTGGTGATAGCAAGAAAGTGGAAAAATAAAGAACCACCCACAAAAGAAGAGTGGAAATTAAAACGAATGGATATAATGAATATGGATGCATTAACACAATGCATGGGGGCCCCCAGTGGTGCAGTGGGTTAAAGCACTGAGCTGCTGAGCTTGTTGATTGAAAGGTCGCAGGTTCGATTCCGGGGAGCAGCGTGAGCATCCGCTGTCAGCCCTAGCTTCTGCCAACCTAGCAGTTCGAAAACATGCAAATGTGAGTAGATCAATAGGTACCGCTCCAGCGGGAAGGTAACGGCGCTCCATGCAGTCATGCCAGCCACATGACCTTGGAGGTGTCTACGGACAACGCTGGCTCTTCGGCTTAGAAATGGAGATGAGCACCACACCCCAGAATCAGACATGACTGGACTTAATGTCAGGGGACTACCTTTACCTTTAACACAATGCATGGCAACCAAACAGAGGACTGGTGTAAGCAAGACTGACTGGACTCCAGTGGAGAGATACCTCAAAGATAACCAATAATCGATTATAATCGACAATAATTGACACATAAGAAATAAGTCAAGAAGATAACCCCAATTGAAGATAAAATAATACTAACAAAGCTATTCGGGACTAATCAGTAACTAAGTAAATTAACACTCCCCATCACACTTTCCAATTTCTTGTACACCTTGCCCCCACCCCTTTTGGGTTTTTTTTTCTTTTCCTCCTTCTTCTCCCCTATCCTCTTTCCCCTCTCTCTCCCTTTTTGTTTTGAGATAAATAGTTGTTATTTGATATGTCAATGATTACCACTCTCTCGATGTACACTTGAACAAAAACTGTCAAAAATTATACCAAAAAAAATTAACCAATAACCAATTAACCAATACATATAGGATAAATTACATAACAGCCATTCACCAAGCATCTGAGGATGCTTGTCATAGATGCAGGCGAAACATCAGGAGAGAATGCTTCTAGAACATGGCCATATAGCCCGAAAAACCTACAACAACCCAGTGATTCCAGCCATGAAAGCCTTCGACAATACAATAATAATAATATTAATAATTGTATTTCTTACCCACCTCTCCTCGCGGCTCGAGTTGGGCCACAGCACAATCAAAACACACAAACATTGCAAAAATTCTATGAACATACATATTAAAATGAAGTTCTATAACAGATACATATACATCCCAATTATGCACACACACACTCTACCATAAGATCTATGACACCAAATTAAACCAGATTACGTACATATAGCTTGCTACCTGGGATGTACCTTCAAAGCAGACCCCAAGACATCAATTTCAGTTGCTTGAGAGGGAAGTATGCCCCCCTTTTAGACCAGAAGCAACTCCCCACGTCTCCCCCCTCCATATTCTAAGCCAGGAGTCCTCAAACTAAGGCCCGGGGGGCGGATACGGCCCTCCAAGGTAATTCACCTGGCCCTCGCTCAGGGTCAACCTAAGTCTGAAAAGACTTGAAAGCACACAACAACAATCCTATCTCATCAGCCAAAAACAGGGCCACACTTCCCATTGAAATATGAATACGTTTATATGTCTTAAAATTGTTCTTCATTTTAATTATTGTATTGTTTCTAAGTGATTTTTTCACTATAAATAAGATATGTGCAGTGTGCATAGGAATTCATTAATGTTTTTTTCTAATTATAATCCGGCCTTCCAACAGTTTGAAGGACTGTAACCTGGCCCTCTGTTTAAAAAGTTTGAGGACCCCTGTTCTAAGCTATGGCATATCTTAGTAGTCCCTTGTGTGGGACACTGGATCAACCTAAAGCAGGAAGGATGGGTACTCCAGCCTTTTACCTGAAATGACTCCTTATTGGGAGTTTGCAAATCTGCCAGTAAGGAATATCTGTGTGAAGGCTTCCTTAACCTTGCTTCCTTTGGATATGTTGGGTCTACAATTTCCATCATCCTGACACAGCAATACTGTGAACCATTGTGGATGGGGATGCTGTGAATTGTAGTCCAACATCTGACAAGACTATGGGAGACTGGTCTGATGGAAACACGTGTGTTCTATATAATTTTGTCACCTAAGGCACATCCCAGATTTACTCACAACTAAGAACCATTTCATAAAGTTAATAATAATAATAATAATAATAATAATTTACAGTGTAGGGTAGGATCTTTATAATTCTCAGCTAAGCAGCTCCGTTGGTGCCTCTAATTAAACGAAAACTCCCAGGATTAAAAGCAATAAATGAAGGCATCTAAATTAGAATCGTAACACAATAACGATTGTGGCCCAGTTTACCTGTCCGAATGGATTCTCCCCTACAAACCATCAAGGTCCTTAAGATCGTCCGGGGGGGGGGCCCTGCTCTCGGTCCCACCACTGTCACAATCACGTTTGGTGGGGACGAGAGACAGGGCCTTCTCAATGGTGGCCCCTCGGCTTTGGAATGCCCTCCCTCTGGAGATTAGAACCGCACCCTCCCTCCTGACGTTCAGAAAACTAACAAAGACCTGGCTTTGGGATCTGGCTTTTGATAACTGAGTCAATATGGGCTTATATGGAAGGAGCATGACTAACTGTGAACTACGACTAATGTTCTGACGACCTGGCTTATATGTATCTGTGATGTTGATGATGTATATTGTATACTGTTCATTGAAATATGTTTCTAATGTTTTTTGATAATGCACTGTGTGTTGTAAAATTGTATTTGACACATGTTGTGAACCGAATCTGAGTCCCTCTCGAGGTGAGAAGATCGGTATAAAAAACCCCTAAATAAATAAATAACTATGTAGTGTCAAAGGGTCCTAAGCTGTGTAAACTCCACATCAAGGAAAAACACTGGCAAAACATTACAAGGTGATTAGTTCACCCCTCCTCTGGCAAGAGACAAAAAAAAATCAGCGTGGTGCCAACATAATATAACTGCATATGTTGACTGTGACCCTTTTATCTGCTCACTCATAAGACTCACTTTGTAGCGGGATCATCGTAAGAGGCTACGAACACCAGCGTCCCCTCATGCAACGGCCGGATGAATTTTAACAGTTCATTCACATCTAGAAATAGAGAGAGACACACAGAGTGGACCTGGAGGTTTCAACACAACTCTTCTTACAGAAATTGAAGGTCTGGGCAGCATAGACAACAATAACCTGGTTATTCCAAAGTGCCTTCAATGATTGAATATAAGATACTCCCTGACCAACTTTGCACAAATTGACCTCAGAAGCACTTTATGGTTCGTGCAATTAAATCCTTTCTTATCCCTGGATCCTCCTTCCTGATAATTTACATTGTCCTGTCTCCCAGCGTTTTAAAAATGTATCTTTGAATTTGGCCCTGCTCAGAAAAAATCTTTTGTGTTTTAATAGTTGATTTTAAATTGTTGTGTCGTTTATTATATAGGTTTTCAATTTTATGTATTTTATTTTCCGGTTTTGTTATGCTTTTGTATTATATTGTGCGTATTGTGCTGATGGGCGTGGCCTCATGTAAGCCGCATCGAGTCCCCCTTTGGGGAGATGGAGCGGGGTATAAATAAAGTTTTATTATTATTATATTACTAGCCGTCCCCTGCCACACGTTGCTATGGCCCACATGGGAGTTCTATGTGTGTGTGTGTGTGTGGGGGGGGTTGGCCCAATTCTATTGGTGGGGTTCAGAATGCTCTGTGATTGTAGGTGAACTATAAATCCCAGCAATTACAACTCCCAAATGTCAAGATTCTATTTCTCCCATACTCCACCAGTGTTCATATTTGGGCATACATTGGGTTGTTAGGTGTAGAGTTTGGTCCAGATCCATCATTGTTTGAGTCCACAGTCATCATTGGATGTAGGTGAACTACAACTCCAAAACCAAAGGACACTGCCCACCAAACCCTTCCAGTATTTTCTGTTGGGGATGAGAGAACTGTGTACCAAGTTTGGTTCAATTCCATCATTGGTGGGATTCAGAATGTTCTTTGATTGTAGGTGAACTATAAATCCCAGCAACTACAACTCCCAAATGACAAAATCAATTTTTTGAGTGAAGGACGTACATTGGGTTGTTAGGTGTCTTGTGTCCAAATTTGGTGTCCATTCGTCCAGTGGTTTTTGAGTTCTGTTAATCCCACAAACGAACATTACATTTTTATTTATATAGATTACATGTAATATAAATATATAATTCTTATATTGTATTACTATTATAGTGTAATACATTATAATATTATTATCAGTATTATATGGGTATACAAAATATATTATATTAGCACAGCACAATGTTAGTATTATATATTACTATATTGTACTATAGTACTATATTGTAATACAGTATTTTCTGTTGGTCATGGGAGAACTGTGTACTAAGTTTGGTTCAATTCCATCATTAGCGGGGTTCAGAATGCTCTTTGACTGTAGGTGAACTATAAATCCCAGCAACTACAACTCCCAAATGACAAAATCAATTTTTTTAGTGAAGGACATACATTGGGTTGTTAGGTGTCTTGTGTCCAAATTTGGTGTCCATTTGTTCAGTGGTTTTTGAGTTCTGTTAATCCCACAAACGAACATTACATTTTTATTTATATAGATGATGATGATGATGATTATTATTATTATTCTGTACAAGTACAAGAATATTGCTGAGTACTTTGCTAAGAAAGTACTTTGTTGTCTGCTCCCATTCTTATGTTTTTTAAATTAATGTGGTATCAGGATGTATTTGGACACACTCTGATATCAATTGATCGTGAAGATATATTTCTTGTCTTGTAAGGAATTTCCTTTAAAAAAGATGATACATTGGGATTTTTTTGTTGCATATGATATAGGGAGGGGGAGAAGTAGCTGATGGCACTATTGCTGTTATCTAGATGGAAACAGTTTTAGTTAGGAATTATTTTTTGTCATGTCAGGAGTGACTTGAGAAACTGCAAGTTGCTTCTGGTGTGAGAGAATTGGCCGTCTGCAAGGACGTTGCCCAGGGGACGCCCAGATGATTTGATGTTTTTATCATCCTTGTGGGAGGCTTCTCTCATGTCCCCGCATGAGGAGCTGGAGCTGATAGAGGGAGCTCATCCGCCTCTCCCCAGATTCGAACCTGCGACCTGTCGGTCTTCAGTTCTGCCGGCACAGGGGTTTAACCCACTGCGCCACCGAGAATAATTTGCATGAATTTACCGTTGAAAATGTCTTAAACTTGAGTGAATGGTAAAGTATGTTATACTTATTTTGTACAAGTTGCCACCTGCATACAGTTCTAAACAGGTTTCATTATTTTTGAATGTATATTTTCTGATTATATATGAGATTGTTTGTGTCAAATAATACATTTTAAAAAGTTTTTTTTAAAAAAGAATATTGCTGGAGAACAGTACTGAGTCCAGGATTCGGAGACAATTGGGTGGGATATAAATTTGTAATCCTTGTGGTTGTGAGAAAATGACTGAAAGTATGTGTCAGCAATACCTGGTGTAATCTCAGAGAACAGAGCTTATGCTTTCTGCAAAATGCTGACGAGCAGGTGTGTTTCCGATTTTTTAAAAAAAATTGTATGATTGCTAACCTATTTAGAGAAACAACCATGAAAAATATGTCTATCCAGGCTGGCTCTACATGTAGAATTAATGTTGTTTTAAACCATAATAACAGCTATGGCTCACTGCTATGGAATTTTGTAACGTTTACCCACCGCACGTAAAATGGTGTCAATGTGCATTCTTTCTACAGTATAGAGCCAAACCCAGTTAACCTGACGCAAATTCAATTTTGATCCCGTTGCCACTGATAATATCAAATTCCTGAGCACGGAGCTCTCTCATTATCTTCCGGCTTAAGCAAGATCCAGATTTGTTGGAAATTGAATGGAGAAGGGGAAGGGCAAGAACTCAAGTGTCCACAGCTGCAGAGAAGGCAAAGTACTACTCCACCTCTGAAATTCCTCCTCAGAGAATTTAATCCAGACAGACTTTACTGTGCTATGGGGACTTAACTCCTACCAACACAAAACACTTACCTCCTGCCCACATGTCAAAGTATTTGGCATCAATCAGGTCTCCATTCACCCCTGCAAAGACAAGCCAGACCGCATTAGCCCATAGTAATGTTGTTGTGTCTCACATATAGCGATCCCATAGTAAACCCATCATGGGGGTTAACTGGCAAGATTTGTTCAGAGGAGAGGTTTGTCATTGCCTTCCTCTGAGGCGGAGAGATTATAACTTACCTACAAACACCCAGTACGTTTCTATGACCAAGGATGAATTCAAACCCTGGTCTCCCCAGAGATTTATTTAGTTATTTATTTACAATATTTACCATATATTCCGGCATATAAGACGACTGGGCATATGACGACCTCCAACTTTTCCAGTTAAAATATAGAGTTTGGGATATACTCGCCGTATAAGACTACCCCTCTTCCAACACACACCAAATAAAAAAGCTTCAGATTTGATTTCAATATGGTAATTTTCCTATTACTGTACCTCCTTCTCTGCCTCTCAGATCTCGCACATGCGCACCTGCACCACTTCACTGCAGTCTTCAGGAGCGAGATCTGAGAGGCAGAGGAGGAGGTACGGTTATAGAACACAAGGGTGGGCCAGACAGGTAAAAGAGTTGCGTTTTTCTGGGTCCAGAGCCACTCTATCTCTTTTTTCCATACCCCGGGCGCCCCGGACGCCTGAAGCTTGCTCCACCCTTCACTTACACCTTCCGGGTGAGGCGCTCCTTCACCTCACCATCAGGACTGCATTAAGTCCATGAATCCTACCATACTTGTACACCGTCGCCCTTTCATACAGTCGCTACATACAGCAGGGACGTGGCCACTGCCATTTTTGAGCTCCCCCCACAATATGCAGCAACCACAGATTCTCCAATCCGGATTGGAAGTTTCAGCACCCACTCTATAAGATGACTCCCGGCATATAAGACTACTCCCACGTATAAGATGACTCCCGCGTATAAAGTGACCCCTGACTTTTGAGAAGATTTTCTTGGGTTAAAAAGCAGTCTTATACGCCAAAATATACAGTATATTCTGCCCTTCTCACCTCGCAGGGGACTCAGGGCAGATTACAATGTACATATACATGGCAAGCACTCAATGTCATAGACTCACAACATATATAGACAGACACTCAGAGGCTATTTAACATTCCAGCTTTTCATGAGAGTATTCTGGCCACCAGGGGAGCTGTTGCTTCAACGGCCATTTGTGACACTGATTAAGTACTTCCTCATTATTTATTTATTTATTTGGAGTGCTTCTACCCCGCCCTTCTCAACCCCCTAGGGGGGACTCAGGGCGGCTTACAAAAGGCACAATTCTTTGCATGCTTGCTGGAGATTTTTATGGCCTTGTAAATTAGTTAAATTAGCCTCCCCGCATAAGCGGTACCTACATTTCCTACTTGACAGATGCAACTGTCTTTCGGGCTGCAAAGGTTGACAGCAAGCTACACAATTTGGTCGGAATCGCACTCCGATCCGGGCTGGCTTCGAACTCATGACCTTTCGGTCAGTAGTGATCTTAATGCAGCTGACTCCCAGACAGCTGCATTAAGTCCCGGTGGTCCAGTGCTCAAAACACTATACTACCCTGGCTCTTCCTAGTCCCATGAGTTCATGTAATTACGATTATTAATGCAGATCTGCGCCTCAAAAGACATAACTCACCATTCACCAGTGCAATATTTAGGCCCCGGCCAACATTGTTCTTCACACTGCTCATTAGCCTGAAAGAATGATGAAAGCAAATCAGAAACAGAGCCATGGAGAGATTCCTTAGCAAAGAGTATGTACTGCACGAAAAGTCGTCTTGCATTACAGTTATAGGGCTATGATTCCACTTGAACTTTCAATGGCAACATCCTGAGGAATCATGGGATTTGCTGCTTAGAGAGCGGCATTTATTATCCTCAACTATAAAACTCCTTTGGTGCCTCTGACCAAACTACAACCACCAGGATTCCTTAGCAGAAGCTAAGATGAAAATCATAGTGCTATAACTGTGTAGAAGGAGAGGGCCCAGGTTCTAGTTCATACTGATGCACAAAAACATTGGGTTGTTGTAGGTTTTCCGGGCTATATGGCCATGTTCTAGAGGCAATTTCTCCTGACATTTCGCCTGCATCTATGCCAAGCATCCAGAGTAAGAAACTATTCCTCACCTCACAACCTCTGAGGATGCTTGCCATAGATGCAGGCGAAACATCAGGAGAAATTGCCTCTAGAACATGGCCATATAGCCCGGAAAACCTACAACAACCCAGTGATTCCGGCCATGAAAGCCTTCGACAATACACAGAAACATTGTTTCTCTTTCCCCGTTTGTCTGACTGACCTCAAAGAGTTGTTGCCAATAGACTGAGGAGTCAGGCACACTGTCTTGAGCTCATTGGAGAAAAGATGGGATGTACAGTTAGTCCTCTGAATTTGGAGATTTGAATTTTGTGGATTTGATTAAAATAGATTTGATTAAAATAATGGATCTCTAGGTCTTCTAGTGCTCCTCTATAGTCAACTTCTAGCAGAAAGTAACCACAGAAACATGCTAAAGGACCTAGAGAGAACACCCCTCTAGGAACCTCCAGTGCAATTCTTTGGTGAATGCCTGGTAGAAGTGATGCTGGAGGACCTAATGGCTCCCAGAGAAGTGTTTTCTCAAGTCAAACTGTGGATTTTTTTTGTTTGCAGTTTTTCTATTTGGAACGGAGAGGAATTTCTGCAGGTCTCACCTTAGCGCATGTGAAGGGATAACTGTAACACAGTGGTTCTCAACCTTCTTAATGCCGTGACCTCTTAATACAGATCCTCATGTTGTGGTGACCCCCAAACCATAACGTTATTTTCGTTGCTACTTCATAACACTAATTTTGCTACTGTTATGAATCGTAATGCAAATATCTGATATTAAGGATGTATTTTCATTCACTGGACCAAATTTGGGACAAATATCTGATATGCCCAAATTTGTGTGCTGGTGGAGTTGGGGGGATTGATTTTATCATTTGGGAGTTGTAGTTGCTGGGATTTATGGTTCATCTACAACTAAAGAGCATTCTGAACTCCACCAACGATGGAAATGAACCAAACTTGGCACATAGAACTCCCATGAGCAACAGAAAATTTTTCTGGTAGGATTTGAGAGGAGACAACATCCCATGCTTGCAATCAAGGTCAAGGAGTGATCAAATTCAAGCAGCTGTTTGGACACATCTATTATTGTGGGCATTGACCTTGAATTTGGTGGGCATTGACCTTGAGTTTTGGAGTTGTAGTTCTCCAGAGAGTACTGTGGACTGTTAAATAATGTACCAGTAAGGCCTTCTCGCGGACCACCCTGAGAATTTTGGGGGGGGGGTGAAGGCCCTCAACCCCCCCCCCCCCCGACGGGCCTGGATCAGGACCAAACTTGACACAAATACTCAATATGCCAAATGTGAACACTGATGGAGTTTGGGGAAAATAGACCTTGATATTTAGGAGTTGTTTGCTGAGATGTATAGTTCACCTACAATCAAAGAGCATTCTGAACCCCACCAACCATAGAATTGGCCCAAACTTCCCACACACAAACCCCATGACCAACAGAAAATACCCTCTGACTCCCCCTGGACCAAACATGTCATGAATTCTCAATATGCCCAGTTGTGAACACTACTGAAGTTTGGGGAAAATAGACCTGGACCTTTGGGAGTTGTAGTTGCTGGGCTTTATAGTTCACCTACAATCAAAGAGCACTCTGAATGCAGCCCACAATGGATCTGTACCAAACTTGGCACACTATCTACATGGCAAACACTGAATACTGGTGGGGTTGGGTGGGTGGGGGGCTGTTTTTGAATTCTGGGAGTTGTAGTTCACCAACACCAAAAAGGAAGAGAAGGCCAGGCAGAGAGATCTTAAGTCTTGTCTGCCAAAGGGGTTCCTAAGACCATCAGAAATCTGTTTTTTTCTGATGGTCTTTGGCGATCCCTCTGAAACCCCCTTGCGACCCTCCTAGGGGTCCCGACCCCCAGGTTGAGAAACATTGCTGTAATACATTTTTAAAAAGAAAGAAATTCTGCTTCCCCTGGAATACAAATTTGAGCCTGAATAAAGAGATATTGCTCATGAGCTCTGCCTTCTAGTCCGGAAGGTTTGAGACTGGGCTTTCTGAGCCAGACTCCCAACTGTTTTGCCTTCATTGCCAATGACTCACATTTTATCCTCAAGGCAGATCTTGGGCCCAATGACATTTGCTGCACCACTTGTGATCCGGAAGGCCAAGGTGTGCTCTGGGCAGGCCCGAGGAAGGCCGCACTTGTACTTCTTGGGCCTGGGTTCTAAAAAAAAGATGGTAAAGATCAAAAAATCATAAGATCCCCCCAAACTAACCACCACTCCAAATTTGATGGTCAGTTTGCTTTTTGGTACTAACTCATAGATGCTGAGGGATCGAGTGGGATGAAGAAGCAGGATAGGCGTGATTTATAGTAGGATCTTATAAATACCTATTCTGAAGTAATATTCATAAGTACAGTATATTCTGGCGTATAAGACTACTTTTTAACCCAAGAAAATCTTCTCAAAGTCAGGGGTCGTCTTATACGCGGGTGTAGTCTTATGCATGGGAGTCGTCTTAACTCTATATTTTAACTGGAAAAGTTGGGGGTCGTCTTATACGCCCAGTCGTCTTATATGCCGGAATATACGGTAATTCTTTTTGATTCCTGTGAATTATTTTTAGATCAGTGATGTCAAACTTGTGGCCCTCAAGTTGTTTGGGCCTCCATTCCCAGAACTCCTAACCAACTGGCCCGATGGCCAAGAATTCTGGGTACCAAAGTCCAAAATACCTGGAAATTCACAGGTTTGACACTTGTTTTAGATAAATCTGCACATATCTGTATGGAACTGTAGCTCGACAACATCTGGAGGACCACAAGGCAGCCAATCCTCTCTTACCTTCCAATGCAATCTCAAAATCCAACCAATCTTAACCATTCTAGATATTCCTACCTAAAACTGGATGTCCAAATCATTCTGGGTCATGGCAAAACTTCAGCATTCCCCAGCCTTGAGTCTTCCAGGTATCACATTACAAGAGAGGGAGGAGGCAGGGGGCAGTTCCACCTTGTTATATATAATATTATATTATATATAATATTTTGTATATACATATATTTATAATATTATAATGTAATACAATCTAATACTACTACTAATAATATGATATTATAATTATATATTTTACATTACATGTAATATTACAAATAATATTACAATATAATGGGGTAATACAATATAGTAATATATAATACCGATATTGTACTATGCTAATAATATAATATATTGTATGTATATATTTATATAAATATTACGAATAATATTACAATATAATGGGATAGTACAATATAGTAATATATAATACTGATATTGTACTATGCTAATAATATAATAAATTGTATATATAAATATATCTTGTGAGCCACTCTGAGTCTCCTTCGAGGTGAGAAAGGTGGCATATAAATGTCGTAAACAAACAAACAAACAAACAAACAATAAATAAATAACTAAATATCTCACTATCCCCAGGCCAAGTGGCAGTCAAAAACCTCCAGATAGTTACTTTGATGGAGAAAGCTGCATTAAACTAAGTCCTCTTCGGGATAAAAGAGACCATTTCCAGAGAGCTGAAAAGCACTGGTCCAAAATGAACCAAATTTGGAAGAAGTTGCCTTACACGGTGGCCAACGCTTAGTTTAGTTTCGTACAGGGGTTCTCAATTTTTTTCAAAAGTTTCTTGTGGGACCCCAAGAAATGTGTATATATTATATATTATATTATATATAATGTATACATACATGCATACATACATATCAGGCATGGACAAACAAATTCCTATGTGAACTGCATGTATCTCGTTTGTAGTGCGAAAGAAAGAAAGAAGGAAGGAAAGAAAGGACAATACAATGCAGTATTTAAAATGAAAAACAATTTTAACCAACATAAACTTAACAGTATTTCAGTGAAAGAGCCCAGGGGCTATCCAATCCAACCCCCTTCTGCCATGCAGGAAAAGTACAATCAAAGCACCTCCAACAGATAGCCAGCCAGCCAGCCTTTGTAATAGTAGTAGTAGTAGTAGTAGTAGTAGTAGTAATATTTTTTTGTCGTGTCAGGAGCAAGTCGCTTCTGGTGTGAGAGAATTGGCCGTCTGCAAGGACGTTGCCCAGGGGACGCCCGGATGATTTGATGTTTTTATCATCCTTGTGGGAGGCTTCTCTCATGTCCCCGCATGAAGAGCTGGAGCTGATAGAGGGAGCTCATCCGCCTCTCCCCGGATTCGAACCTGCGACCTGTCAGTGGGGTTTAACCCACTGTGCCACCGGGGGCTCCATTGGTAGAATAATAACACTTTAAAAATAATAATAATAATCTTACACATAAGGATTATTATTATTTTAAAAGTGTTATTATTCTAGCAATGACAAAAAAACCCGTGGAATTTAATTTCTCAAAGTAGTACTAAGAAGTCTCTCATAACTTGAGGCTCCAAACTGTAACTCTGTACATTTATGCGTAAAGCTGGCACTGGTCCTATTTGTTCCCTCCACCCACTTCAACTCATCTGAACTCACTGCGACGCCTAATGTTGTTGCCTGAATTACTTCTTGCCGGTACCACTCTGATCTGATCAAGAATACTGATGATACTTGTCAAATGGTGATGATGGGCAAACTCTAGGCATGGCAAAAGAGACAGAAAGCTAGAACAGTCAAGTCATACAGGTGAATGGGGAAGAGGGGAGGAACACTGGCCTTCCATCTACACTTGCAATGTTCTGCTACAATAGTGTCCCCAAATGGCAGTCCCCAAATGTTGCTGGACTACAACTTCAAGAATCCTTAAGCATTTAAAAGTGGAGTCCTGGGTGTCAGAAATATTAAAAACTAGCCGTCGCCTGCCACGCGTTGCTGTGGCCCAGTCTATATATATGTGCTTTGTTTGTGTATATGTGTGTATATATTTTTGTATATATGTGTTTGCGTATATATACCGTATATACTCGGGTATAAGCCGACCCGAATATAAACCGAGAACCTAATTTTACCGCAAAAAAACTGGGAAAACGTATTATCAAGAATTTTATTTATATCTATTTTTATTTTGAAACTAGCTGTCCCCTGCCACGCGTTGCTGTGGCCCAGTCTGGTGATCTGGAAAATAAAGTAATGAGGAAGTGTTGGTTTCTAATATATGTAATTCCTTTATGCTTGTGAGTAAACAGTATTTCTTGTTGTTGTCTGGTGTCTGGTTTGCCTACTCTGGAATATGCAACATATCATAGTCCTTCTTTAAGGGTCTCTTTCAAATCTGTGATACTATATCTGTGTGTGTGTGAGAGAGAGAATCATATCTATCTATCTATATTTATGACTGGATGGCTCTTTGTCAGGAGGGCTCTGATTACATTTTCTTGCCCTGGTGAAGAGAGTTGGACTGGATGGCCTTAAGTATTTTCTGTTGGTCATGGGGGTTCTGTGTGGGAAGTTTGCCCCATTTCTGTCGTTTGTGGGTTTCAGAATGCTCTTTAATTGTAGTGAACTATAAATCCCAGTAACTGCAAATCCCAAATGTCAAGGTCTATTTCCTCCAAACTCCATCTGTGTTCATATTTAGGCATATGGAATTTTGTGTCAAGTTTGGTCCAGATCCATCATTGTTTGAGTCCACAGTGCTCTCTGGATGTAGGTGAACTACAACTCCCAAACTCAAGGTCAATGCCCACCAAACCCTTCCAGTGTGTTCTGTTGGTCATGGAAGTCCTGTATGCCATGTTTGGTTGAATTCCATCATTGGTGGAGTTCAGAATGCTCTTTGATTGTAGGTGAACTATAAATCCCAGCAACTACAACTCCCAAATGTCAAGGTCTATTTCCCTAAAGTCCACCAGTGTTTACATTTGGGCATATGGAATATTTCTGTGTAAAGTTTGGTCCAGATCCATCATTGTTTGAGTCCACAGTGCTCTCTGGACGTAGGTGAACTACAACTCCAAAACCAAAGGACACTGCCCACCAAACCTTCCAGTATTTTCTGTTGGTCATGGGAGAACTGTGTGCCAAGTTTGGTTCAGTTCTATCGTTGGTGGGGTTCAGAATGCTCTTTGATTGTAGGTGAACTATAAATCCCAGCAACTACAACTCCCAAATGACAAAATCAATTTTTTGAGTGAAGGACATACATTGGGTTGTTAGGTGTCTTGTGTCCAAATTTGGTGTCAATTCGTCCAGTGGTTTTTGAGTTCTGTTAATCCCACAAACGAACATGACATTTTTATTTATATAGAATTATTATTATTATTATTATTATTTAATGTAATTTTATTGGTATCTATTTTTATTTTGAAATTTACCAGTATCTGCTGCATTTCCCACCCTCGGCTTATACTCGAGTCAATACATTTTCCCAGTTTTTTGTGGTAAAATTAGGTACCTCGGCTTATATTCGGGTCGGCTTATACTCGAGTATATATGGTATCCCCTCTGGCCAATTCCTTGCTGAGCCTCTTTCCTTTGTTATCTCCCTTGCCGTTCCCTGATCTACAGGAGCAAGCATTACCTGCAAAACAAGCAGTCTGACTCTGCTTTGTTCTGCTGTGGAAATGTAAAAGAATGTCTCGGCCCTGATCAACATCGCTTTCAAAACATCAAAGCCCCAGAACTGCAAGGTTAAAGCAGAGCTTGGAAACGTTGCCTCTGGACAACAATGCCAAGAATGACATTTTGGGAACTGTTATCTAAAAATGTAATTTCTCCAAACTGTAGGTGTAAATCCATGTGGGAAACACATATGCCCACCTACGCTTCCTGTCGTCCTAACCTGGAATATATAGTATCTACTACCAACTCCACGTAGCACACTATACTGGCCTAAAATGACGGGAGCTGCAGTCCAAACACATCTATAGAACACTAGGTTGAGAGTGGCTGGCCTATATGTTAGGCATGCACACATGCATGTACAATATGAAAAGTTAAAGCCTGTGCAAACTGAGGATGATAAAGCGTTGTAATCCAAGTCAAATTGGATTGCCTTTCACTGGGTAAAACTACTCTAAACCCTGGAGAAATCAACATAAATCATTTACCTGAAGTAGGAGAATTCTCAGGACCTGGAACAGAACAGAGAAATAAAATATTAGCAAGATCTGGCTGCAAACAATTGACTATGACTTCGTGACCGTATCTCTCTCCATGAACCAACCCGGGCCCTTCAATCTTCGGAGGGAGGCCCTCCTTTCGCCCCTGCCAATTTACAAGCTCGTCTTATGGGCACA